ATTCGCAGATTGTGTCGTCGCAGCCAATCATGCCCGAGTAAAATATCGGTTCCGTCGAGGGTCGTTGCGAGCATTTCCTGGCTAAACGTGAAGTTACCCCCACATCGAATCCGAACCCGGTCTACGCGTTCCTGTATCGCCAGCGGCGTGCCGTCTACCAGTCTTGCGTCGATCTCAGGTAAACATATGTCCAGTGGCAGTCGCAGTTTTCGTGCTGTGGCAGTGTTGATGAGGCTGTGGCTGGCTCCCCCGTCTACGAAGATTTTTACTAAGTCCGTCCCAATTTTCCCACTAAGCAGTATGGGGCTGTCTACCGTAGTCCCCTCCTTATTCGGCCGGGTGTGGTCGATTGCGTGAACCGGCACAATCACTCGGTGAGGGTCGGTTGGGTCGGGCGAGCGGCGTGACCTGTCAGTAGAGGGCCCGTCTGCTACTGACTCCCAGCGTTTCTCTGCTGCTTGGTCTGTTTCTGCTGCTCAGCTTCCCCCTTTCCCTTAGCGTTTTCCGGGCATTCGCTCTTGCGATGTCCCGGCCGATTGCACGCAAAGCAGCGCCCTTTGAACAGCGCGGCAGCGGCATTTGCGGTGACGGCACGTATCGTGGCGCCCTCGTTCGACCCACGAGGCCAATGTCCCCAATGGCTGCTTGTGTAGGACCCCGGTCTCGGTCGGCGGAAGAAATCAAGTTTCTCCGCCATAGCGAGAATTTCTTGAAAGTCGGTGACGTCGCAAAGCTGGATTTCCTGAGCGATATCCTGCTTCAGGCCGCCGATGTAGCGGTCGATGCGCTCGCTCTCGTGCATATATCCCACCTGCCCGCATAGCGCCAGAAACCCGCTCGTGTAGTCTTGGATGGAACCGAGTTGGCGCCAAGTGCGGAGCCTCTGTCGCGCCACGATCGATGCCGTAATTGGCTCGAAACGAGCGCGCAGACCTGCGCACCACGCGTCCCACGTGCGATACTGGGGCACCTCCACGAAATAAGATGGCGCCCAGGGTCCGGTTTGTCCTTCCCGTGTCGGTAGAGTCGCGTAGTCTAACGGCTTCGTGACGATGACGCGCCACCAATCCATGGCGGGTCCTCGCAGCAACGACACGGCGTAGCGGATTTTCGCCGTATCTTCCGAGACGTAGTTGGCGTCGAAAAACACGTTCATCATGAACAACCACGCCTGAATGGTAGGACCACCCCGTTGGCTGGGATCAAAGCATGGCGGGCGCTGCGGCTTCAGCGGCATCGGTGACGGCAGTGCCGAACCGTCGGTTGGTGCCGAAATTGTGACGCGTGGCTGGCTTCGGGCCGCATTCGTCGCTTCGGGGTGTGTCGTGCCGTGGTCGTCGTCTCCGTCGGGGCGGACGACGCCATCACTGGCCGCGCTCGGGGGTTGCCCCACGCTTCCGTGTTGTGATGCCTGTTGTGCGGGCTGTTCCGGAGTGCCAGGTGCTTGAGATTGTGCTTGTTGTGCTATGTTGAACTATATTTATATATTTTCTTTATAATTGTCTGCAGTGTAGAGTGTAGCACATCCCAATTTGCTGTAGGTGGCGCACCATGCTTCTCCTTGCTATATTTTGTACTCATCTTTCTTAGTGAAGTCACTTATTCCTGCTTCAACTCTCTCGACACCTCCTTCAACCCTAAAACCTAAGCTACTAAGTTACTCTAGCCATGGCTTCTAAGCCCAACTAGCTTAGTATCTTGACATGCTCGTGTGAGGTCATTTTGCAGGGACGAGCATTCTGGCGTCAGCGTCGCGATTTCCTCGGCGCTCTCGCGGATTTGCCGCATCAGATCGTTCAAGTGCTCCTGCGTGAGCGTCGTGATATCAATGTGCTCGGCCATTTCGAAGGGTGTCGGCTCATCTTAGTCTAGGCGCAGTCGTGGCTGCACGCGTTTACGAGAGAACGCGAGGACAGCGGCTCCTAGGTGCTAAGGTGCGTGAGTCCCTTCGAAACGAAAAAACAAAAGTCGATTTCCTGGGGTGCGGAGATGCGCGGTCCGAAAGAAGGGGCTCTGAATACCAAGTGTTACGGGTGCAATGAATCGAAGTAGCGAGAATTGCATTAAGGTGTCAAAACGAGTACAAAGATGTGAGCGAAGGCATGAGCGAACATTTATACGCGAAACATGCAAACGGTAACGCGGTGCGTGCGAGCTAGCTAGTGCTACGCTGGCAGCGAGGCTCGGGCTAGTCCCGAAGCATAGGCCGACACGGCCGGGCCAGCAGTGCGAGGTTTGGCAAAACAGTGCGCGCGAAGTAGGCGAAGTCCCGTTAGCAGTAACGGGCGAACAACGGCTGTTGCTGTACGCGATGTAGTCGGGCTCCGTAAGGAATGCCGAGAAAATTCCTTACATCTACATATACATTACAAAGAGAATGGCACCTGTCTAAATAAAAAATATACTAGGCTTGCCCCTACAAAAACCCTCACATCACGTAATTGCAAGTACAACACCTGGAGAGTGAAAGCAGCTTCTACAAATAAACAACTATCTCTTAAAGAGGTTTTCAACACTCTTAATTACGAACACTAAAGAACAAAATGAGAGACCACCATGGAATGGAACCATAAACAAAAAAAATCAGACTGATACATTTTAATGTTAACTGCTAAATAAAACATAACTAAAACCATTACATACCGGTTCAAGCACACACCAAAAAAATAGTCCACAAACTCAAAATAAAAGTAATACATGACGTAATAATTCAATAATAACGTGTACAAAGAATAAATTTTGCAATTACAGATTGTAACAGAACATGCCTCGATATTCGCGAGATGAATCCAAAAGGAAAAGGTGACGTGTCTACCAAAGTCACCCGAAACAGGGCTTCAGGCTGAAGCTCCCAGCGGAATTCGGTCGACGGAGCCGAAATGCCAGGGTCGACGAGGGGGGTCGTCGGAGAGGGGTCTGACGAGGCGGGCAACTGACGCGCGTGCGGGCCCGCCAGCCTGGCCCAGGGCTGGGCCGAGCGCACGACCGCCGCCCCGCAACCCCTCCCCGAAAGTGAACAGCGTCCCACGTTACCGGGTGGGCTCGGCGAAGTGGCGACCCACTCGAGCGAGGGGGAGTTACCCTCGCGCGAAGGCAGCCCTCCCGTCCCCGCTGCCCGCGAAGTCCTAGTGACCCTCGCGATCTGACCGGACGGGCAGGCGAGGGCCACGTGAAATTCGGGTGCTCCCCTCGGGACGCTCGACAATTTCGCGACCCGTCGGGGTGACGCCACGTGCTCGCCCGTCATTTCGCATCGTATGCATGCGACATTTCGTACCCGCCGAAAATCGGGCGAAAATTGGGTCGCTCGCACCGGGCCGCACGGTTTTCGCGACCCGCTACGAAATCGACACGAGGTGCCGGAACGTCGCACCGCGCTCATGCGAACTTGAGTCCCTTGGCGGACCGAGGCCAGGGGACGTGACGTCGACCTGTTGGCTCGGCGGCGAGGGTGCACTTGTGCCACGCCACTTGTGCATGAGCCCTGCCGAGCCAGGCACCACGGCCCCCTGGACGACGCTCAACCGGGCCTGCGAGGCTCCGCCTGCCTTTTCTCTGTTGGAGGTGGACTGGCCCTTCATTTTCGCATTCTCGTTTCTCTTTCATAGTTTAGCCCAGCTCTGTGCCTTCCGTACTCCCACCGTTTCTTCCCTTAGCCTGTAGCATCCTCGCTCTCCCGCCATGGCGGCAGACCCGAAAGCCGCCGAAGCAGCGCCGACCTCGCGCAACTTCCCCCTGTATCTAAACGTCGGTAGAGGACTTACATCCAAGTTTGAGGAACACGACTACGCCGTTCTGACAAACCCTATGCTACAGTTTAACGCCCGTTGCTTAGGACTCGGCCTCAAGTGAGTGTCTTATGGGGAGATCGGCGTCGTCAAGTTTATTTCATGCTGGTCGAGCCCTAGCGGGGATTCAAGCGACCCGTCGTTTAGGTCGACGGACTCATGGTGTAGGGTTCAGGGAAGTCGATCACATCGGTGTCGCCGACGTTAGGTGTTTGGTCGGCGTCGGCGCTGCGTTGTGCCATAGTCATTCGGCTCCCGTCGATTCACCGCTCCGTCGTGCTATTGCCGCAACAGTAGTATCCGCCGTCGTCCCGAGCACCTACTCACGCACTCCTCCTGACCATGCATGTGTGCAGGCACGCTTGGTTGCGCGGAACGGATGAAAACGAGCGGCTGTGGTCGATAGGAGTCGGCCGTCTTCGGGCGGCGATGGGTCAGGGCGACCACACATGCTTTGCGACGGTTTTTGACGCCGACGTGGCGGTTATCCCACTGACATCGAGGTGAGCTGGTTCGGGATCATCCCGCTTGTGCTGCAGCCTGTGTCGGTGATCTGTTCTGAGCTATGTCGACGTGCCTTGTCTGTGCAGCATTGCACCGCTTCCAGGATCACATTGCAGCGTCGTTGTCATCCTGTGCCCCGACGACTTGTTGAAGGCATCGGGCCAAAAGATCAGGACCTCGATCCGGCACGCTGACCCGCAAACGGTGAAGGAGTGGCACGTCAAAGAGGCGAAACGCGTGCTGGAGTAAGCTCAATAGTGTAGTCGACGCCGCCTTCGTAGTCAACATGCGGAGCGTGCACCATGCCAACTGACCGTCTGTGCCATGCTTATGCAGGTTTTTCCGGGCGGCTGTTATGGCCGAGCTTCGCCGCGAAGGTTGGAAATGGGAGTGGGCGAAGCCGTCCGAGGAGGAGGTGCATGCGAGGCTCGCCGACTGCGACGCACCCCTTCGAGATGTGAGTTTCCAACGTTCTTGTTAATATATGGTATCACATCCTTGCGCGATGCAACCGCCGATCCGTTCTTGCGCGACGCGACTGCCGATCGCGGTGCTGATTTTTGCGCTCGCCTCTGTTGTATGCAGAAAGTGCCCGACACCGTCCGGGACGGGGACGCGGGCTCCGGCCTGCTAGCAATGAGCGCGTTGCTCTGAGTTGTGAGGTGGTTCGATCTCCTGACCGGCTCCCTCCGTCGCAGTGTCACCAGCATGGACAAGGTGTATGTTACGGGGATGAAGGGGCTGCGGACTGAGATGGTAACCTTCATCAAGAATCAAGTCGCGCTCATACGGTCGGGCCGATGCGTAGTTGCGGCCGACGCCTGTGACGACAACGGCGTGGAGGTTCCTTCGGCATCCCAAGCAGTAGGTGCCGCCCCCACTGTCGCTGATGCGCGTGGCACGTCGATCGGAAAGCCGGGAGGCGGCGTCAACGAGGACGAAGCAGCGGCAGGAAAGGGGGTGACCGGGACCAATGAGAGGCAGCAGGACGAGGTTGGCCATGAGGATGATGATCGGGTCCATGATCTTGAGGAGGAGGGGGGCTCAGAGGAGTCGACGTCGGAGTCGGAGTCGGGGTCGGAGGAGGAGCAGGAGGCTCAGGATCAGGAGGAGCAGCAGGGGAAGCAGCACGAGGAGGAGCAGGAGATGGAGGTGAAGGACGTGGAAATGGAGGATTACGGGGCTGAAGGAGCGGCAGAAATGGGAGAGAGATCGGCGGAGGTCGAGCACGAGAAGGGGGAGGGGAAGGGTGCGTCAGCGGAGCTCGGAATGGAGAAAGTTGTCGGCGTGGAGGCGGCTCACGGGGGGAGTGGGATGGTCGTGGTCGGCGATGGGACGGACGTTGTCGACCACGAGGCCGTTGGACATGGGGATATCGCCGCGGCCACGAAGCAGACGGGCGTGGAAGTGCCTACCGATGCCACCGCAGAGAAGGCCGAGGGGGAGCGGTCTAGGAAGAAGAAGTCGGCGAGCGGTCATCCCGGTTCCACCGCAGCTGGGCGGCAGGCGCGGGTGGACATCGTCGAGCAGCTGAGAGCGGAAAACAGGCGATTGCGTGCCGACAATGCACGCCTTGAACGGCAGCTCGGTGAGCAGACGGGGCGGGTCGACGAGTTGGCAACGCCCGTAGCTGGGCTCCTCGACAAGCTGAAAGATTTGACCGCCAAGGTCGCCGAAACCGACCGGAAATCGGTGGAGCGCCTCAAAGAGGCCACGTCGACCATGGCGACCACAATCACCGAGGGCCTCACCGACAACATGGACAGCGCAATTCAATCGGGCAAGTCTTTTGCCGAGCTAGCGAGGCAGATGTTGCTGGATATTGACGACCCCAACGGACGAATGGCGGTCGCGCGCGCGACCGCGGTGGACACTTTGGTCGAGCACGTGACGGCTGAGGTGGGTGAGGCGAGGAAGGGGTTGGAGGAGACGGTCATTAAATACATCGGCGCTGTGCAGACCAACATTGCCACCGCCGTCTCTCCCCGCTTCGTCGTTCAGCAGCCGCCGCCGACCGCCCCAGCGCAGGCCTTGTCGGCCGAGTTCCTGAATTCCTTCAAGGAGGATGTGCTGAAGGCGGTGACGGAGACCACGCAGCAGTCCTTTCTCACCTCCGGATTGAAGATAATGACAGAGGTGGTCGGCACGGTGGCGACTGCTCGGCGTGGGTCGTCGCCGTCGGCAAACGACACCGGCCAAGCGCAACCTACGGAGGCCAAGAAGCAGGGTCAGAAGAGGGGGGGAGGCGGCGGGGGGGGGGGGGGGCGACAGAGCCGATTCGGCGAACGTGAAGCGGAGCAAGGGAGCCGGGGGGTCTCGCGTCGCCGGCGACGGGAGCAAGGGGGCCGGAGAAGGAGGCGGCGGGGGGGGAGACGGAGACGATTCGGCGAGCGTGAGGCGGAGCAAAGGAGCGGGGGGTTCTCGCGTCGCCATCGACGGGAGCAAGGGAGCCGGTGAAGGCAGTTCGGGGAAGCAGTCGGGGAAGAGCGTGGTCGACATCCTCAAGAAGCACTGGGCTACTGTTTCATCGCCCAGCACGGGCCATGGTGGTGGGGGTCCTGCCGACGAGCATGCCGCTGATGACGCACGGCCAAGGGCTCCGCCTTCGGTGGCCGAGAAGCCACCACGAGAGGGTAGCGGAGAGAAAGGGCTGAGCGGCAAGGAAAAGGCCACCGCCAAAACGGCCGCTGGCGGTTCCGCGAAACCTGGCCAGGGGCCGACTCCCGGGGTAGCGAAGGCGTCAGCGGTTCCTCACCAGCCACCCGCGGGTGCACGCCCTCCGACCGGATCGTCTGCCGGGCGACCTGCCGACGTCCCGCGCCATGCCGACGTCCCGTCTGCCGACAAGGTTGGCCGCGCGGGGAAAGTGGCGGCAGTTGCTGACGCGCTAAAGGAGCAGCTGAGGCTCCTTGCCGGCCACAAGGCTGCTCAACAGCCTCCTCCCGCTGTCGACGTCCCATCGGCCGGTGTGCCACGCGTGGTGCCGGTCGTCGCCGCCCGTACTCCTGCAGACCCAAAGTTCGCGTTGCTGCGCGCCCAGTTGGGCGCACTAGCGTCGACTGCGCCAACTCAGCAGGCATCTGGCTCTGGCGCTACGCCGTCGTCGGCGAATGTCGCACCACCCACCCCTGTGGCAGCTGAGGTTGAGAAAGCGGCGGAGAAGGGCGTTCGTGCCGCAATTGCCACCGGCGGCGGCCCTGTTGAGGAGGTCCCCCCCGACGCGGATATCGCTGCCATACAGGCCCATCTGGATGCTGCCAAACCCCGAACACTGGCCATCTCCGACACGGCATACGTGGAGCATTCGGCGGGTCCCGTCGGCAGTTCAGCAGAGCCTAGTGCGATCGGTGATGCTGTCGGTGTAGGAAAGGCGAAACGGAAGGGGAAGGCGGGCTCACAGAGGAAGACGCGGGAGAGGTCGGAGGTGAAGGCGGCGGATAGAGGGAAGGCGAAGGCGGCGGAGACAGCGGCGGACAAAGATGGTGGCGGCTATACGGGGGTGGAAGGGAAAGCGGGGGAGAATCAGGAGAAGTCGCTCGGCGAGGGGTACGTCGATGGGGGGGAAGGGGAAGGACAAGTCGGTTGGAGAAGGTACGTCGACGGGGAGAATGGGGAAGGAGAAGGCGGTCGGCGATGCTTCGTCGAAGGGGAGAAAGGGAAAGAAAAAGGCGGAGGAGGAGGATGAGGAGGTCGAGGAGGTGGAGGAGGTAGAGCATGAGGAGGAGGAAGAGGAGGAGGAGGAGGAGGAGGAGGAGGAGGAGGAGGAGGAGGAGGAGGAGGAGGAGGAAATGGGCAAGGAGAGGAGGGGTCATGGCATCCGACACGACAGCTTGGGCGACGGGCTAAGGTGGGTCGGCGAGATTAAGGTGCATGGCATCAATCGATACATCAGCAAGTCGCATGACAAGATGGAGCTCGCGTACGTGCACTCCATCGCGTACGTCGTATACGACGGTTTCGTGAGCAAGGTGCTCATGTCCGAGCTCACCGTCTTGGACAGCGCCGAATTGGAGAGGTGGAAGGAGGTGTGGGAGGAGGTCAAGATCTTGCCGACAGGGATGTGGACGGTGATGTGGGCCTGGGGTACGCTCCTTCCAAAGACACGGTAAGTCGGTTATCCTCCGCCCCCAAGTCGACACATGGTGATGATGTCGTTGTCGTGGTCACTAATGAATGCCATGTTTGTTGTGCTGGCGTGACAGGCTGAATGATATCCTCGACAAGTATCGTCATTACAAGGCCTCAGGCGATGCTCTCCACACCGCGCTCCTGCCAGCGATATGGTACTCAGTCGATGCCAACACCGAGGATGGCCAGGAGAAGTCGGCGTCTATGATGTCGGCGATGATAGGTCGCGTGTCCATGTGTGCTGCGTATGGGAAGATCGCTGCAAACACGGCGAAGGAGGGAGACAAGGAGGAGAAGACGGATATGGCGGCATGGGCGTTAGCAGCGTCCGCATGCGCTGTGTGGTGCTTCGTCGAGAACGGCGACGCCCAGGTGGCGGATGCTGTGGAGGAAGGGAAGGCGGCGGTGCTTGTGGGCGGAGCAAGCCAGGCGACCGCCGATGTATTCGGAACTATCATGGAGGCGGTGCTGAACGTCGAGATCAACAGGGACCGCCCCCTGGGAGAGGTTGCTTACAACGTCGCGCCAGCACTGCAGAGGCACGCCCTTGACAAGGTCTACCCGGGGGGGAATGCTGGCGTCGATGCCGACGTGGTCGCTAGAGCCACGGTCGAGACCATGGCGTTGTGGGGAATGTGCCCCGTCGCCAGGCCGAAACTCAAAGCGAAGGGTATCGCGGTGCTATGCGACGCGCAGATGAAGGCCGATCTTGACAACAGGGGGAGGAAGGGTCAGAGGGGCAAGAAGGGGACGAAGGCCAAGGGCGGCACGGGGAAGAAGGGGACGAAGGCCAAGGACAGCGCGGGGAAGAAGGGCCAGATTGGGACGAAGGCCAAGGACAGCACGGCGGCGTAGTCGGCGGGCTTCTGGAGCGAGAAAGGTTGCCGACTTGCTAGGATTCATTGCTGCTAGGATTTGGTTCTGCTATGGTCGATGTCATTTTCTCTGTCGGCTGTCGGATCGCTGAGAAGCTCGTTTATTTGTGTGTTTTTTTTTTGTGTGACTGCTTGTCGAATTTATGTAGGATGTGAAATGAACAATGAACCATAACCCATAGACTTGTCTAGGGTTTCGGAAAATGTGATTGTATACTTTGCGAGAAGCACACGATCATAGATTTGTCGACTTACAAAGGATGTCAAATGCGGCAATTAACCCATTAGCTTGTCGACTATACATAGGTTGTGATTGCGGACATCAAGTCGACAAATTAATCAGTACGAAACCGGTGCAATCTGCGTCAACAAGCTCTACAACATGCAACATCCCACAGCAACAGCTTGAAACCTTTGCATGCTGCACCATTTACGCGGTCTTCTTGCGCTTGGCCGACTTCTTGGTCGGAGGCAGCTGCCCGGCGTCGTTCTCGCAGGCCATGTCGGCCAACGTCACCTTCATCTGCTCCTCCCAGGTGTTAGGGAACAGGTCGGCGACCCACTTTTCCAGCTTGAAACCGCGCGCCACGAATGCACAGGCTACACGAAGCTTGGAAACCTGACCCTTGCTGAGCCCCTTGACACCCTTACCCGGACCGGCAAAGGTCGCGACGGTGTCGGCATTGAGCACCGTTAGGGCATCCGAGAAGGTCCCAATGCCAGGCGCCGCTATCTTGTTAAGCGCGTCGACGACCTCCTCCGTGTCGGCTTCGCCGTCGCCCAGGCAAAGCTGGCGCATCGCATCGATGACCTTCATCATGCGGCGCACCCTCATCCCGAGTGCTCCCTGCGAGGCACCGTCGAGGAGCGTGTGGCGGTCGACGAAACCCGGCTCGGTGAACCTGTCGCACAGACGACGTGTGTCGGCGCTGGTGCACGAGGTCCAGAGGCGCCACGCGTCCCTCACGTTCGTTGCATTCCGCCAAGGCTGCACCACGTTGAGCTTGTAGCTAGCCTCCTCGTCCGTCTGTGGGGGTTAAGGGGGTTTCTTGGCTCCGTCACCCTTGCTTGCCGAGTCCGCGGAGCCACCGTCGCTCGGCGACTGCTCGTTCGCAGCTGGCGGCGCCTCCGGCATCCTACGAGCTTCTGAAACGTGGAGAGCCTCGGTGAGGCGGGTTATCTCGGCCGTCAGCGACGCGATGGTTGCGTCGCGCATGTCGATCTTCTCCTCGAGGTCGATCTTCTCGACCGCTGACCGCTCCCTCTCGAGCTTCAGCGTCTCTTTGAGGGAGACGACCGCGTACTGGGCGTCATGGCGGAGCGATATCTCCTGCAATGGTAGGCGAATAACGTTGCAGGTGAGGGGTTGTAGCGGTCACAGTGCACATGTCGATGTCGATATGCATAATAACTTACCTCTGGCTGGATGAGGGTTGGGTCTTGCCGCTTTTTGATGGTCTCGGTGTCGGTTTTCTCGACCCTCTTCGCCCAGTGCTGGAAGAGGGGAATCCGGCAGAGCTTGGAGTACTGGACGTACGGGTGCCAAGGGGTGCGGACGAGTTTTACAGCGAGGTCCTCGGCGACAATGCGGCGAAACATCTGGAGGGTACGCCAGAAATGCACGGCGGCAATGTCGGCGTCGGACCCCTTCTTAGCGAGATCTTCCGCCTGCAATTAGACAACGGAAGTGGGTGGTCACCGTCGGTCGGAAGGACGATACCATGCGAGGAATGGTCGGCACCGATAAAAATACCTTCTTAAGGAGGTCGTCCACGCCGAGGAATATGTGCTCGGCGATGAGATCCAGGAGTTCGGACGTGGGTTCCACCCTGCTGCGACCCTAGAAGTAGTCCTGCGTGAAACCCGAATAGCCGGCCTTCTTCATCACCACGCCGACGGGAATGGCTGTGATGTAGGCTCGAGTCATCTTGTCGATAGCCCAGTGACCCAGCTCGGCTATCTCGGCGCGAGACGTACCGTCGATGGCCAGCTCCTGCGCCCCGCCCGCATCTTCGCCGCCCACCTCTTGTAGTGGTAAATCCATGAGATGTAGGACTTGAGGGTGCTCTTACCCTCTATGGTTTTCAGGTGGCGCATTGCCTCCATCACGAGCACGTCGACGCACGCGTACACCATATCTTCCTCTACAAAGTCGGTCGCCTTCCACAGTTCTTGAGGGACCGACGTGTGCAACAGATCCTCAAGCTCGTCCTCGTCCAACAGTTCCTCTATGAACGCACGTTCCCCCCTGAGTTTTTCTTCCAACGTGCGCGGACCTGCACCACATCGGGGCCGCGGGTCGTCTTCGTCGTCCTCGTCGCTCGCCGACGAGTAGTCTTCCTCATCCTGGTCGCCCGATTCGTCCGGCACCGACGACGGTCCCGCGTCGCCTGCACCCGTCGGTGCCGACGTTTTGCGGGATTTTGTAAACTCCCCTATGGGCGCGGGCGGAATGTCTTTGGTGAATTCTCCCGCTGGGATTTGGGCCAGGGCGTCGAGATCGTAAAGCAGCGGCAACGTCGACGAGGGGTTACTGGTCGGTGTACGGCCTACCGGGCGGACATCACCACCCGGGCTAGCAGGGTTCGGAACGTCCGTCATGTCGACGTCGGCGGGTGGTGGGTTGGGTTGCGGCTGTGTCGCGTGAGGGTGTTGGGTGGTACGTCCTCTGGCCATGGGATGGTGATCTAGGAGGTTTTGATGGGAAGTCAGCGTGGTGAGGTCGATACACTACAACATGCAAATTCTATGTCGGCGGTATCTGACAGGTCGGCATCGCAAACAACCCTACAAGACGTCGGCGACCACGTCTGACTACTTTGACGACGCCGACGTTCCACGTCTGGAAAAAAACAAGTGCCAGCCGTTAAGGGAACGGACAAGAAGCTAAGTGACAGCACACGGATGGAACGCACACAGAATGGCAGGCAGAATGAGCGACCTTCACTGGGACCACGGATTGGTATGGTCGTGAGCGACTCCGCACCACTTGGCGCTCCACGCAAACCCCTGTGCAGGACGCCGCTATGCATGTACGCTCGTGCGGCGGCGCCGTGTCCGACGTGCCAGCAGGCGTGCATGGCTGCTTGCTTGAAGCACTTCGTTCATGATGCGCTTTTCATGGCTATTACACGCTGGCTTTTTCGTGCGGTACGTGGTGTGGTCCCAAATCTGGTCCCAAACAAGGTGCAGCATGGTAATTCGAGGGCTGGAGACACTGCCACGTGGCACCAAGATGAAGCTCTTCTGGTCGACGCCGACATTCCCGCCGCCTCAGGATCCATTGCACCTAGGCATAGGTAGGGGACGGTTGGATTTCTCCTTGCGCATGTGGGCAACCGTGGGATGAAGGCCGCGTGGTACGCACCGACCTGGCCTCGGTTCGGCGCAAATATTTCCCACGCGAAGCACCCCGACCCTCGGTTGGCCCGTCGTGGCCATCCTGGCAGACCTCGATGGCCACGCCATCCAGGGGTCGATCTCGGACGTCCCTTTGTGACCGCGTGGCGATCATCGCGCCCCGACGTGCTGAGCTGGGATTCTGACATGCGCTGAGACGTCCTTCTCGGGATTGTCTCAGCGGAACCCTAGGTCGTCAGGTCTTCGACAATCCCGAGGGCTCACCAGCACTGGGCCCAGCCAGATCGCCTGGGCTTTCCACGCGGAGGTCGTCGTGGGTTCGTCAACCCCGAGGAGAGGGGTCGTCCGTTCTAAACCACGAAAATGGGCGGCATTTTTCGTCCGCTGAGCTCTATTATGCTGAATATACGTGTCTACGTCAGCAAAGCGCCCCTTTGCAGCCACGTCACTGAATCAAACGATCCACCCATTCCCATGCCACCCAAATCCGTGCCGTTATATTCGACTTCCGACCATACCCCCGTAAAAAAACCCCAACACAGCCGCACAGGTGAACTCCCACCATACAAAATCATTTCCAGAGCACCCCCTGCTGCTCCTCGTAACTCGATTTGCCTGGAGGCCTGTTCGGGGATGGCTCACAAACTTTCTGATGGTTCAATTGCGCTATCAAAGACTTATTGCAATTTTTAGCGTATAGCCGCGTGGCGAGACGCCGCTGCGTGGATCCGTAACGTGAAGAACACGCGCTTACCTAGAGCGTGGGTTGCAAGCCTACTGGACGGCTTTACGCATAGAAGACGGCAATTCAGACTAACAATAACCTAATTTGTGGCGGGGAAAACGGATACTAAAGCTCAGAGAACTAAATTACAAAGTCCGCCCTTACTAGACTAATCGCAGGGTGCACAGCGGAGTGGCAACAAAATCGATTCCGTTGTGCACGCGCGTATCTAACTACTAGTTACTAGTAGTTACTAGTTATCAGGCTGATGAGAGCTACCAGAACCGTTTGTGGGAAAGTCACTGGCAGGGGTGGGAGGGAGGGAGGGAACGAGGCGGGAATCTGTGTGTGGTGTGGGTCATCCTATGCACGCCGAATCCAATTGTCGCAGAGTGGGGTGGCTGAACAGAACGAACACGTGGCAAGGGCAACTGACCTCTGTTATAGTCACAATAGGCTCCAATGTGCCTAAAACGGAAGATAGAGTGCACAGTCGGATTTCTGCACAGCGGCTTTAAACGTTCATAGCGATCTGCTCACAACTCCAAATGACTTCATTCAACTTGGATCTGGAGCGCCTTAACGTCGCCTACAATAGGCAATTGAGATCGAACGATTTCATCAAGAATTGACGGCACAGCGTCGGTTTGAACGAACGGCACTATGGCAGCCACTATAGTCTTAGAACACAAATTTGGAAGAGTTGGCAAGAGTTACGAGTTGGGAATGACTCCCAGCTCCTACAAACCCCAAGAGCCGAGGTACAGTGATGTGGAACAGTGCCACACTGTCCCCAACCACGAAGGGTCTCGAAACTACCCTTCACTAGGGCCTACACCAAGTGAAATGTTACACTACACAAAGTAATGTAACTATCTTCAATTTCTTGAGGTGTACCCTTTTGGCGAGCTTCGCGATCACTTGAATGGTGACACCAGGGCTCGGGTTCTTCATCACAAAACTCATCCTTGAGTTCTTGATGGGTCTGCTGCACACATCTGCGACACGCCGAACGTTCGACAAGCGACAAAATAGAAACCGCGCACGACAAAATAGAAACCGCGCGGGACACACAAAATGACCGCGTTACACGCGACTAGCGATAATTCGCTATAGACTTGACACACACACACACACTCGACATCATGACCCATCATACACACACTATTATGAGCATGAAATATATATTAATTTCATGCACACATTCCATTCCATGCACACACGCATGCATGCACACAGACAACAAGCCGAGTGCAAACCGTAGGGTTGCACCAACAACCTCGTCAGCAATTGCTGTGTGACGGGTGACGCATTGACAAAACAGACATTTACGGGCAAAACAAAACTGTTAGGCTGCATGTTCTTTCCTGCACCGCTAAACACCTACTAACGGTAGAAACACGACGCAAAAAGAAACGGGTGGGAAAATTCACGCACACAACAAGGTTATGGGAAGTTATAACAAAAGAAATGAAACTGCAAATTACCAGACAAATGGTGATGTTTTCAGACGAAAACAATTAAATATAGTACAGCGAGTGAAAAAATGGAAACCGTCGGTAAAGGGAAAACAGTTCGAGCATATTCAGGTGTCCCACTCACATTCTTGGAACGTTGGAGCACGCACGCCATTAGCGCGCCGAGGGGGGTTCTTTCCTTGGTTGCATATGAGATATTAAACAACCAGGATCGTACCACGTCAGTGCCAATTCATATCTAAGCCGTCAAAAAACTCCAGTCACTGTCCGTTTGGAAGCCAAAGCTCGAGACCAGGTGGATAGGGTAGCTCAAACGTCATCCTGCGCTAGTAAGGCACCGACACAAATCTGGACGGAGTTAGCTTACGTGTGATTGTCCATGCCATTGCGTCAAGAAGGATTGGCCGAATTACATTGCAACCTCTTGTTCAACGTCGCCAGACCGAGGGTTACGTTAGGGGCGAATCCAGGATTGTTTGACTGTTCACAACTACGTTAGGGCACGGCAAGACGGAACTATTCAACCTCGCCGATTACGCCACGTCAATTTTGTGATTGCATGTGCTTCACATCCAAGTCGTCCAAATGTGGCTCTCCAGTACAGTACCAAGTCCGGGCACTGGTGGGTAGCTCAACCCTCAGTAGCTCAACCCTCAGTAGCTCAACCCTCATCCTGTGTCTCGTACCCACCGTCATCGTGTGACTCTGTTACGGGTGCAATGGATTGAGGTAGCGAGGATTGCACTAGAGTGTCAAACGAGTAAAAATTGTGAGCGAAGGCGTGAGCGAACATTTATACGCGAAACATGCAAACGGTAACGCGGTGCATGCGAGCTAGCTAGTGCTACGCTAGACCCGAAGCGTAGGCCGACACGGCCGGGACAGCAGTGCGTGGTTTGGCAAAACAGTGCGCGCGAAGTTGGCTAAGCCCCGTTAGAAGTAGCAGGCGAACAACTGGTGTTGCTGTACGCGATTTAGCCGGTTTTCGTAAGGAATGGCGAGAAAACTCCTTACACTACCCCCCACCCCCCCCTCAAGAAGCCCCCTCCGCTACACGAGTGCGTGTATATCGCGGAATCCCCGGCTCCTCAAGTACACTTGCAAGGCAAGGTGTTTTTCGATGTTGGCCAGGGGCACCCAGCTATCCTCAGTTGGCATGCGGTCCTTCCAGCGAATAAGAAATTCAATCCTCTTGATGTCTATGGGGTGTCGAATCCGATGGCTCATGATCTTTTCCGGCTTGATGATCGGCTCCGATGCAGGTCGAGTCATGGATGGCGGGCAGTGGCGAGGCAATTGGCTCGTGGTTGGGACGTACCGGCGAAGCAGGCTAACGCGGAATTGTGAGGATCTAGGATCGAGCTCAGAAAAGAGAATGTGAATTGAATGATCACCTGGGTACAACACGAAGCTATATATAGGCTCGACACAAGGCCCAGTAACCAGGTGTTACGCGAAGGTTCCGTGGGTCGCGAAGCGTTCCGAACAGATCCTTCCCGAATTCGGTAGAAGGCGATTCGGTGGCAACCGAAAAGCCAGAATTCGGTGCACGCAACCTAACTCGGTGCTATAACTATAATAAAATATAGGAAAGCACCTAGCCTAGGAAATCAAGCAATTCATGCATGCATATAATTATCCTATGCTAGAAATAGCATAATAAAGTAAAGGCAAGCAAGCATAGCTGGCATAAGCCGTCGTTCTCTCACACGTCCCCCCCTCAAAGCTGGGTGGCGTGAGATACACCCTGCTTGACAAGATAGTCCTTGAGAGCACGGCGTGCGTTGCCCATATCAACTTCTGCAACCCAACTGTCCTCAGTGGGGTCGTATCCCTTCCAGCGTATCAGGAACTCGAGGGTCTTGCCGCCGCGGCGCCGATGAGTGAGAACGCGCTCCACTTCGTACTCGGGTTCATCCTGTATGAGAACAGGTGGTGGAGGCGGTAGCTGCCGTCCCTGGAACTGTTGGTTGGGGTCCTTGTAGGGTTTCAGTAGCTGGCCATGGAAAGCATCGTGAAGCTTCCATGTATCTGGTAAG